AGTGTATCAATTTAATTAAAAACAAGTAAAGGAAAGTGTTAAAATACACTCACAAGGATGAGAGTAAATGGGCATATCATCAGTCCTTATTCGCTAGCAAGCCTCGGTGGACAGCAGGTGGATGAATGGAGGAGATGTACTCAGACCAGCCTGTCTGGCACCAACGACCATACCATGTTCACAGTCAGTTAAAACCCCCTTCTTCCCCATTTTGATGCTCAGTTTGAACTTCAGCAAGTTGTCTTCACCTAGTCTAGATGCCTAAATGTATTGAATTGCTGCCATGTGATTGGCTGATTAGCAATTTGCGCTACCAAGCAATTGAACAGGTGTACCTAATAAAGAGGCCGATGACTGTATACTGAGAGGGAAGTTTGCTAAAGCTCAAACAAGTGGTTTAGACCATTCTAAATATAAAAGAGGTGGAAGGACTGAGAAATAGGTTTCAAAACAGCGAATATAATAAGAGGATAGTAGAAAAATGCTTATGAACATGCTAAAATGATCAGTAGAGAACAAAAGTAAGATAAAAGAAGAAAAAGATAAAGGAAATCCAATAGTTTTTACTAGTATTTATAGAATGGACCGTATTGCTTCTCAGATAATACACTCTAATTTTTATTTCAAGATAAATCCATCTTGTCTCTTTCTAATTGCTGCCTATTCAAGTGATCCCATACTTTCCAGATGCCAACCAATTCCTAAACAACACATATCTGAAGTCTACATTTTGAATATTTTGAAAATAACTGGGTATATGGGGATGGAAGTCCAAATGTATGTGTCTTGTGAGCTACTCTCTAACACACTCCCATGCAATGTGTATAGCTTTCAAATAATCCAAAAATAGTGCAGCATTGCTTCAGTTTTCACAAAAGAAAACCAATAATAGAACAAAACTGCAAGAAATCCTATTTACTCCCTAAATCACAAGTGTCAAACTGGCAGCCCTCCAGCTGTTGACAAACCACAAGTCCCATGAGGCATTGCAAAATTGACAGTTACAAGCATGACTCCCCAAAGATAGAAGCATGATGGGACTTGTAGTTTCACAACAGCTGGAGGGCCACCAGTTTGACACCCCTGGCCTAAATAAACATCTTTAAAGTGCTTTGTGTTGTGTGCAAGTCCTTCTTCTGTGCTCTTTCTATGGTTCAGTTGTGCTCTCACCTTAATTTTATGACCTTACAAGTAAAGGTCAAATATTGCTTAAGAAGATACGAATCCTCCTTTTAGAATCCTGGATGATATTTTAGATGAAATGTATTTGTGCTCCAGACAATTCTTTCAGACTCTCCTCCGTTGTTCATGTTACATGTGAGTGAGAAAACGAAAACTATATGATGCCTTATTCTTAGAGTAAAACTGTACTCTTTATACTGCTCACATAAATAAAATATGCAACATTATTGCTCTTATGATCATGCAATTTTTGTCACCTCCATCAGATGTGCCCTCAGTTGGTCTCTTTCTTATCAGCTGTAAACAACTTAGATGGCTTCTCAGAGTTAATCAGAAATTATATCAATTGGTATACTTGGCTCTATGCCTTTAAATTCTTCTCTCACTCTTCCTTTTGCTCATTCAGTGTATTCAGCCTGCCACCCAATCTCTCTCCACTGGCTCACTGGCTGTGATTGACATCAGCGGGAGCCAATGGGCCCCCCTTGCTGTCTCAGTCAATGGGGAGGAAGAGAACATCGCTGGATTGGAGGGGGCTCAGGTAAGGATTGGGGGGGTTGGGGGGGCTGCTGGATACAGAAGGTTTTTTACCATGCATCCATTACCATAGAATTCTTCTCTCACTCTTCCTTTTGCTCATTCAGTGTAGTCAGCCTGCCACCCAATCTCTCTTCATTGGCTCACGGGCTGTGATTGACATCAGCGGGAGCCAATGGGCCCCCCTTGCTGTCTCTGCCAATGGGGAGGAAGTGAACATCGCTGGTTGGAGGGGGCTCAGGTAAAGATTGGGGGGGGTTGGGGGGGGCTGCTGCATACAGAAGGTTTTTTACCATGCATCCGTTACCATAGAATGCATGAAGGTAAAAAAAAACCTTGAGCCTTTAGATCCACTTTAAACTCAATTAGGTAACATATATGTGCAGACTACTACTAACAAATACTATAAAAAACATGCATTGTTGTCATACAGTTTGGGATTTCAGTTTAGTAATTTGCCCACCCATCAGGTGTCCCCTCATCTCAAATCCACAGCCTAAAGATCACAGGCAATATTAAGTAAGAAAAGTTAAAATTGAAATTAATCAAATTGGGGTGCTGTTGCTGTATTTAAGACAAATTTAAAGTATAAATTAAAAATCCATTACACATCGTAAAAATATAATGCCAGACTAGGGTATCACAGATGTTGTCCATGAAAATTGTGCTGTTCTGTAATACCACAATGAACATAAAGGCATCAACCAAGCATGTAATTTAAAAAAATAGCTTTTTTTTCCATGTCAGCCTTGAAGTTGCATTTAAAGGATCTGCTCCCCATTATTTTGTATTTTTTTTTTGTTTTTTTTTGTAAAATATCCCCCATTGCAGTACCAAGCTTTCCATGCCTGTTTTTTTTAGCTTGCCTAGTACATTATAGACTTTTATAGTGTTTGTGGATAGGTTCCACTTTCACAAATTTAAAGTAGAATTTGACAAATCCTCTGCTTTTCTTTTTCCTACTCTCCACAACAAATCCTTCTTATTTAATTATTTCTTTGTATGCAGCTGCATGTGTTAAGTGCCATAAGTGGTCAGGGATCACACTTTTAGTCATTTGCTGGCTCTCTCTGGCTACCACTCTCCCGTGTCACTGACTTCCTCAATAAATGCATTAAATAAAGCTGTTTGCTTCTAGTATCTCAGGGATAATGCTCCCCTCAGGGTTACACAGTGCCTCATACCCACTGTATCTATTACGCATATTGCATCATACATTTATATTGCACACACGGCATGCACTGCACTGTCTCAGGTCTCTCTAATGCCTGAAGTTCCACATTATTTTTATTATTATTTTTATACAAGATTTATATAGTGCCAACAGTTTGTCCACGCTTTACAAAATGAGGGTAGATGGTACAGTTACAATACAATTTAATACAGAGGAATCAGAGGGCCCTGCTCCTTAAAGCTTACAATCTAGGAGAGAGCCACATACCTTCATATTACTAGGGCTATGGATAAGGGGGGTACCACCAGTCCTCCTGTACAGGACCCAGGCCAGCAGGGGGGCCCCGGCAGCTGGGTAAATCAGATGTTGACAGGGAGGGTGATGCATAATGGTGGGGGAAGAGAAGGGAATCCGGCAGCACTGCGGGGGTGGGGGCACACAGGGATGCCTGGTCAGAAGGGTGAAATGTATACTGCACAGGGAGGGTGATGGGTGTGGTGGGGCAATTACTGGAACCGAATCCCCTGTATGGCTTTCTCTGCAGGAGCTGAAAGCTGGCTTTTTTCTCTCCCTCAAGCTCGCTTCTTTTCTCTCCCTCCTGCTGGCTTTCAGGTGCTGCAGAGATAGCCACACAGGGGATCAGTTCAAGTAATTACCCCCCACCTCACCCATCACCCTCCCTGTGCGCCATACGTTTCCCCTTCTGTCCAGGTCCCCCTGTGTGCCCCCACCCTCGCAGTGCTGCCAGCTTCCCTCCTCTCCTGCTGCAAGCACACCATAGGATCCTTCAGGATGGATAGTGGGAGTAGGATCTGGTAAATATGTCACATTTATCAACTTCTTTTTTTTTCCCTGAATGAACACAAAGAGTGATCGGTACCAATCACTCGCTGTGTTCATTCATAACTGAAGCATAGTAAACAGTTTTTTTTTTGGGGGGGGGGGCTGTATGGGGCACCATGGTTTCTAGTAGCAGCCCTGCATATTACTCTTAATGCCTCATATTTCTCTATTCCATTGCAAGCAATGTACTTCTGTTCCCTCTGTAGTACTAATGTCTTATACCTTTTTACTTTACATAGTGCTTCATAGCTCTGTAATAAACAGTACCTTATGCGTCTGCATTACACACAATGGGGTTGATTTAATAAAGACAAATAGACTGAGCACTTTGCAAGTTCATTTGTTAAAGAGAAGGGGGGAAAATGTCAGTGCGTCTTATGGAGCGAATATAGAGCGGCCGGTCCGGTATTTCCGCCGCCAACACCGTGTCAGAATACCGTGCCGGCCGCTCAGCTCTTCTCTGCAGCAGGACCTTACCCGATTCTCGGTCCAGTGCTGTAGTCTTCCCGCACCGGCATCTTTAGTGTGGGAACCCGGCTGTGACAGCCAGGTGCCCACTGCGCATGCGCGAGAAGTGCTGCGCTTTGTAAATGGCCTGGCATCTTCTGGGACTTGTCATGTGTCCCAGAAGACGCCGGGCCATTCACACTAAAGGGAGGACAACTCCGTGGAAGTGGGAGCGAGTACCTGTCAAATTCAGGTACCCGTTCCCCTCCCTCCCCAAAGGTCCACAGTCTCTGGTCAGCTCCTGTACTTTTGGCAGTCTCTGGTCATCCCCTGTACTGTCTGCAGTCTCTGGTCATCCCCTGTACTGTCTGCAGTCTCTGGTCATCTCCTGTACTGTCTGCAGTCTCTGGTCATCTCCTGTACTATGTCCACAGTCTCCGGTCATCTCCTGTACTGTGTCCAGGGGTGGACTGACCATTTAGAAACTCGGGCACTGCCTGAGGGCCCGGGGTCAGTAGAGGGCCCCATGAGATGCCCCTGGTACCTTTTTCATAGGCTTTTTTGAGTTTGGGCAAGGACACAGGGGCCCCATGATCCCCTATGGCCGGGGGGCCCCATGAGTTTTCAGTCCACCCCTGACTGTCTGTAGTCTCTGGTCATCTCCTGTACTATGTCCGCAGTCTCTGGTCATCTCCTGTACTGTCTGCAGTCTCTGGTCATCCCCCCCGTGCTATGTCTGTAGTCTCTGGTCATCTCCTGTACTGTGTCTGTAGTCTCTGGTCATCTCCTGTACTGTGTCCGCAGTCTCTGGTCATCTCCTGTACCGTGTCTGTAGTCTCTGGTCATCTCCTGTACTGTGTCCGCAGTCTCTGGTCATCTCCTGTACTATGTCTGCAGTCTCTGGTCATCTCCTGTACTGTGTCCGTAGTCTCTGGTCATCTCCTGTACTATGTCTGCAGTCTCTGGTCATCTCCTGTACTGTGTCTGTAGTCTCTGGTCATCTCCTGTACTGTGTCCCAGTAGTCTCTGGTCATCTCCTGTACTGTCTGCAGTCTCTGGTCATCCCCTGTACTATGTCTGTAGTCTCTGGTCATCTCCTGTACTGTGTCTGTAGTCTCTGGTCATCCCCTGTACTATGTCCACAGTCTCTGGTCATCTCCTGTACTGTGTCCGCAGTCTCTGGTCATCTCCTGTACTATGTCTGCAGTCCCTGGTCATCTCCTGTATTATGTCCGCATTCTCTGGTCACCTCCTGTACTATGTCTGCAGTCCCTGGTCATCTCCTGTACTATGTCCGCAGTCTCTGGTCACCTCCCCCTGTACTATGTCCATAGTCTCTGGTCATCTCCTGTACTGTCTGCAGTCTCTGGTCATCTCCTGTACTGTGTCCACAGTCTCTGGTCATCCCCTGTACTGTGTCCACAGTCTCTGGTCATCTCCTGTACTATGTCCGCAGTCTCTGGTCATCCCCTGTACTGTGTCCACAGTCTCTGGTCATCTCCTGTACTATGTCCGCAGTCTCTGGTCATCCCCTGTACTGTGTCCGCAGTCTCTGGTCATCTCCTGTACTATGTCTGCAGTCTCTGGTCATCCCCTGTACTGTGTCCGCAGTCTCTGGTCATCTCCTGTACTGTGTCCGCAGTCTCTGGTCATCCCCTGTACTGTGTCCACAGTCTCTGGTCATCTCCTGTACTATGTCTGCAGTCTCTGGTCATCCCCTGTACTGTGTCCGCAGTCTCTGGTCATCTCCTGTACTGTGTCCGCAGTCTCTGGTCATCGCCCTGTACTGTGTCCGCAGTCTCTGGTCATCTCCTGTACTACGTCCGCAGTCTCTGGTCATCTCCTGTGCTGTCTCTGCAGTCTCTGATCATCTCCTGTACTGTGTCCGCAGTCTCTGGTCATCTCCTGTACAATGTCTGCAGTCCATTGGTTCAGAATATTTTTTTTCTTGTTTTTCTCCTCTAAAACCTAGGTGTGTCTTATGGAGCGAAAAATACAGTAGATTGGCCCAATGAGATAATGAAAACAGAATTATGCATATTATATTTTTTATGTATCACTATTTATGTATATAGTTAATGTAATAAACTATGTTATACTCATTGCTGTTAATTGTTGTGTGTATAGCAAAATTATATTCTCGTTTTTTTTTTTGGTTTAATACAGTATATAGATCATAGTATAAATAATGTTTTATATTTAAAAAATTGTACTGTTTATTCAAATATACAGTGGGTAAATTATTGAACATTTCACAATTTTTCTAGGTAAATACATTTCATTCCATTACATTACGCATTTAATTTCTGAACTTATGAGTTTTGGTTTCTTTGTATGTATGGATTGCATGGGTTGTTATCGACATGTGATAAAGAATGGCATGTTAATAGCACTTTTAGCAATACATTCAGAAGCCTCTTTTAGGTACACCTTGCTAGTGCCAAGAAAATCTCCTCCCCCACCACCAGTCTAAGTTGTTGATACAAGGCAGTATGAATCTATGCTTTCATGTTGTGTATGTCAAATTCTGACCCCACATCTGAATGTCACAGCTGAAATTGAATGCTCATTCTCCTCTGACCTCTGACATCAACAATGTAATTTCCTCCACACAACTGGCACTCAATGGATATTTTCTCTTTATTGGACCATTCACTGTAAACCCTATGGTTGAGTGTTAAAATCCCAGTAGACCAACAGTTTTTAAAATACTCAGACCTGCCAGTCTGGCACCAATAACCATGCCACTTGTTTCCACATCTACATGCCCAAATGCTTTGAGTTGCTGACGTGATTGACTGACCTTCAATTTTTGTTACCAAGCAAGTGAACTGGTGTACCTAATAAAGTGACTGATGAGTGTATATTTACCTAGAAAAATGGTGATGTGTTATGTATGTAGTTTTGTTTTCTTCTGTAATATAACCCATGAATGTAGTTTTTTACCCTAAAATGAAATTAATTAACTTTTTACCTGCCCAATCTATCACAAAAGGCATTGCAAGCTCAAATCCATAGAATACACCATGAAATGTTTATAAACAATATTTATTGTGTGGCATTTTTTTTATCATTTCAAAAAAAGAAGTACAAAACAACATTTTTTTTCTTGCAGTAATAAAAGAGACGTAAACATTCCAAGGAAAGGCAACAAGCACAACAAATATTAAAACAGAAGTGCAAAATGGTTATATAAGTGCAAAGTGCTTAGGTCTAAAGTAACATTCATAATATATGAACATGATCACTTTCAATAAAGCTGACACAGAAGCATTTCCACTTGTCCAAAGCTGGAGAGGTACATACTAAAGAAGTATCACATTTATGCACATTTTTTTTAATCAAATGTGCAAATGCAGTATTATAGAAAATTTTAGAGTATGAGCAGTACAGGACAATCTGGCAACCTTGATCAATATTTTTTTTAACACACATTTTTATATATATATATATATATATATATATATATATATATATATATATATATATATATATACAGTCAGGTCCATAAATATTGGGACATCGACACAATTCTAACATTTTTGGCTCTATACACCACCACAATGGATTTGAAATGAAACGAACAAGATGTGCTTTAACTGAAGACTATCAGCTTTAATTTGAGGGTATTTACATCCAAATCAGGTGAACGGTGTAGGAATTACAACAGTTTGCATATGTGCCTCCCACTTATTAAGGGACCAAAAGTAATGGGACAATTGGCTTCTCAGTTGTTCCATGGCCAGGTGTGTGTTATTTTCCCTCATTATCCCAATTACAATGAGCAGATAAAAGGTCCAGATTCATTTCAAGTGTGCTATTTGCATTTGGAATCTGTTGCTGTCAACTCTCAAGATGAGATCCAAAGAGCTGTCACTATCAGTGAAGCAAGCCATCGTTAGGCTGAAAAAACAAAACAAACCCATCAGAGAGATAGCAAAAACATTAGGCGTGGCCAAAACAACTGTTTGGAACATTCTTAAAAAGAAGGAACGCACCGGTGAGCTCAGCAACACCAAAAGACCCGGAAGACCACGGAAAACAACTGTGGTGGATGACCGAAGAATTATTTCCCTGGTGAAGAAAACACCCTTCACAACAGTTGGCCAGATCAAGAACACTCTCCAGGAGGTAGGTGTATGTGTGTCAAAGTCAACAATCAAGAGAAGACTTCACCAGAGTGAATACAGAGGGTTCATCACAAGATGTAAACCATTGGTGAGCCTCAAAAACAGGAAGGCCAGATTAGAGTTTGCCAAACGACATCTAAAAAAGCCTTCAAAGTTCTGGAACAACATCCTATGGACATATGAGACCAAGATCAACTTGTACCAGAGTGATGGGAAGAGAGAGTATGGAGAAGGAAAGGAACTGCTCATGATCCTAAGCATACCACCTCATCAGTGAAGCATGGTGGTGGTAGTGTCATGGCGTGGGCATGTATTGCTGCCAATGGAACTGGTTCTCTTGTATTTATTGATGATGTGACTGCTGACAAAAGCAGCAGGATGAATTCTGAAGTGTTTCAGGCAATATTATCTGCTCATATTCAGCCAAATGCTTCACAACTCATTGGACGCCGCTTCACAGTGCAGATGGACAATGACCCAAAGCATACTGCAAAAGCAACCAAAGAGTTTTTTAAGGGAAAAAAGTGGAATGTTATGCAATGGCCAAGTCAATCACCTGACCTGAATCTGATTGAGCATGCATTTCACTTGCTGAAGACAAAACTGAAGGGAAAATGCCCCAAGAACAAGCAGGAACTGAAGACAGTTGCAGTAGAGGCCTGGCAGAGCATCACCAGGGATGAAACCCAGCGTCTGGTGATGTCTATGCATTCCAGACTTCAGGCTGTAATTGACTGCAAAGGATTTGCAACCAAGTATTAAAAAGTGAAAGTTTGATTTATGATTATTATTCTGTCCCATTACTTTTGGTTCCTTAATAAGTGGGAGGCACATATGCAAACTGTTGTAATTCCTACACCGTTCACCTGATTTGGATGTAAATACCCTCAAATTAAAGCTGACAGTCTGCAGTTAAAGCACATCTTGTTCGTTTTCATTTCAAATCCATTGTGGTGGTGTATAGAGCCAAAAATGTTAGAATTGTGTCGATGTCCCAATATTTTATGGACCTGACTGTATATGAAGTTTTACCAATCGCATTTTTGTTTAAGTTAGCAATATTTTTTTCTGCCGCAAATACTGTTTGTGTAAAAGGTCAATGTTACATGTCCAAAATCAGAACATAAAACCACAAAAACATTTTAAAATATGGAAAAACTAGAGCTTGCTAAAAAATATCAACCGAGTCATTCAGTCTTTGTTGCATTGTTGTGACTGAATCTTTCACATCCTCCATTAATGCAAAACATTTCACTAGCTCCACAGTGATTCTAACTACAGTTGCTCTATTCAATACATGACCTAGAAGAAAAGTTCATTAAGTATGTGACAATGAGTATTGTGAGGTAAGTAGATATGTTTGTGTAATATACTCATGAGAGCTTGACTCTGTATCACTGTATGCCTCTTCGGAAGCCACGTCATCTCTAGTATCACTCAAGAGGCCTTCTGGTGCAGTAACCTCATCATCATCATCATCTAGAAGAATTGGAAGGAGCATCTCATCCTCATAGATTTGCGCAATATTGCTATAGTCATCATCGTCTGATCTTGCATGCTCTTCTTGGATGTTCAGCATATTTATATAATAAAGGGTGTATTTTTTTTAATCAATTTACATGAGCAATGGTGATTATGTACCAAAAGTTGAGCATGCAAATTCTGCTTATAGGTTTTTTGCTGTTTAGTACAGTCAGTTACAAGCCACATGCTTACCGTGCTTAGCTGCACTTGGATCAGAGTACTCCATACTATCCAATATGTGAGTGTATGCATTCTAAACATCCTTTACACCCCCCACCATACTATTTAGTTATTTAACTTTTTGACTTTTTGAGTGAAACAGGCAGCATAGCTGGACGTTATCTTTCATGTTTCCGTATGGTGTTCACAAAGGCTAAACATAAATTTAACAAATATGTTGACTTCTTTGTCACTTGTCATCACCTTCACCTGTAGTAGTCTGGACATTAGTACCAGGCACCGGTTCAGCAGGATTTAGGACATACAGTTTGTTCAGGTGTTGAATCCTCTGATGTACAACCTTTGGATATCTTTTTTTTTTTACGATTCTGCATGCGTGCTCACATCTTGTGTTTACTTCCTGACCAAAAAAGGAACAATTATGTGTATTTTACAAGCAGACACTGAATACATTTTTCATCAATAATTTCCATATTGAAAGAAGAAATTAATTTCACAACACAGCTTTGCAATTTTTACAGACAGCATGCTAAAATTTTTTGGTTTCTCAAAAAGGTTTACTTACCTGCTTTGTGCAAAAGATTTTTCACAGAGCATCTCTGCAAAG